ACGCACAATTATGAGGAAAGGAGAGGAGGAATGAGGATGTAGTTGAGGAAGCACAGAGGAGAGAAAAGAGGACTGAAAGGCGGCTTTGAGAGGAAGAGAGAGACACGTCTGCACATGAAGGAGCGCTTCATTTGATCAGCAGGACCTGCAACCCAATACTATAATGCGCTGCCCGACCCCGACAGGCCCGGACGGGTCCCGTGTGTGTGTCTGTGTGCGCGTGCAAACTTATCTGGTGCTAGTGTGCGTGTGTGCGTGTGCGTGTGTGTGTGTGTGTGCGTGTGTGCGTGTGTGTGTGTGCGTGTGCGTGTGCTGTGTGGTGTGTGTGCGTGTGCGTGTGTGTGTGTGCGTGTGTGTGTGCGTGTGCGTGTGCGCGTGTGTGCGTGTGTGTGTGTGCACGTGCTCATTAGCCGCTCACAGTGGAGGTTTTTACCGTGAACACAGATTGACATCAACCTTTTTTATTGCTCTTTTATTTCACTTTTGTTTCACACGAACGAAACTTTGGCTCGTTATCTCGTTAGCACGTTAGCACGTTAGCTCCGCCCTCTTCCTCGCAATCTTTTATAGATATCAGAATCTCTTTCACGACTCACGACACAAACAAGTGTGTTTAAGTTAACAGTAGAGACACGCCCACGGGTCATGTGATTTCCTCGCTGTCACTGTTCTCGTTCTATTCTAAGTATTTATTTCCCTGTAGGTGCTGCGTGTGAATATTGAGCAGGTCACTCGGGGATGAGGTGAAACGCTGTGAAGCAGGTTGTGCAGAATGTGGGGGGGCTTGTGGGCCTGGGGGGGGGGGGGGGGCGCGGTGAAGACGAGAGATGACATTAGACAGAACCGCTTTAAGGGTTGTACCGTGGGGACTCGATAAAGGCCTCGTGCACACAACGTCCTTGATTGTGGTAACATCATCAGACGGATGAGACCCCCCCCTCCCCACCCGACCCCCCTCTAAAAAGGCCTTGTTCTAACAGTGTTGGGCCTGTTTACACCAACAGAACCACTGTTGAGCTTTCAGCTGGAGGCATTAAGGCCAAATGGACCAAAGCAACAATATTTGGTCTGCGAATGCCTCGCGTACAAATATGCCCCCCCCCCCCCCCCCGACCCCCCCTCCCTTAAAAGGGAGGAGTTTAAATAGAAGTAGACTAACACTCTCTCTGTCCGCTCGGACTAAACCCTCAGGGGGGTCCAGCGCCTCTGCAGTCTGACGGCGACATGAATTAGAAATGAGGGGCGGAACAGAAATGTCGGGTAAACATCTGGATACGGAACAAATGGGTTATAGTTCAATGACGTGACAGTTTTCATGTAAAAATCAACTCACGGCTTCTAAATATTTTGTCCTGTTAAGTCATGTTATTTTACACAACATGACCCACAGCCTATAACACAGACCCCCCCCCCCCCCCCCTCCCCCCCTCCCCCTATACAGACCACAAAATAAAGGTATGAACCTCCATTAATCCACTGGGGAGGTTGAGGTGACTCGAGCCCCCCGACTCGGTAGAACTCTGTAGAATCCAGAGCTGTGGTTTAATAAATCGACCCTGATCGATTGCTGCAGAAATCCACCCGCCCCCCCCCCCCCCCCCCCCCCGCCCCCCCGGGAGTGAGACTTTGAAGAGGCATCCGAGTCGTTCCTCTCTCAGGAATATCTTCCTCTCTGTGGAAATCCCCCCCCGAAGATCACAGTGAGGCTTCTTGTGTTTCCTGCAGAAAGTATGTCGTATTCACGGGGGGGGGTTCGCTTGACAGGAACCGGGCCGCAGAGGATGAACGAGGAGCGGGAGGGTGGTCCGCTGCTCACACACAGCTTCTTTTGTGTGTTCGTGTATCCCCCCCCTCCACGCCCCCCACCCGACTTGTTCCTCCGGCACGCGTCCGTCGCTCCGTACATCCAGCGAGTCGTCGCCTCGCCTCCTGTGACTTTTGGTCCCGCCTACATTTAGCCCTTTGAGTGGCGCTACTAGCCAGCAGTGACGTAGCTGGGTTCACGTTAGGGGTGGAGGGGTTAGAGATGTAGCACCCACAATGCATCTGTGTGAGCTTTAAAGAAAACCACCTTTTGATGGCAGTAACCGAGATGTCGGGTCAAACGGGTGGAGCACAGATGAGACGGCTTCCTCTTCTTCTTCTTCATCTTTAATTATTGTCGTCGTCGTTTTGAAAATCACGCTAGAAATCTGTGGAATTAAGTTTGACAAGTTTGTAGTTAATTGGCTGAAAGTGTCGCATAATTTCAAAGTATTTTAGACGTCGCGTTTCCTGCTTCGACTCACTCGTGGAATCAAAACCTCGTGCCTCTTTCCCTCGTCTGTCAACTTCCTCTCCGCTTCGCCTCTTCTCCACCACATCGTCTTCTTCTCCAAACTCCAGTTTGTTCCACTCGGATCGGCTGCTGACGAGACGACGTTCTCCCCCCTCTCTGCTCCACGCACAGCTGTGTTCCTTTTTCCTCCTCCGTTTCTATCCGCCGGCTTCGTTCAGCCCGACCTCTGACCTCTGCCATCGATCACTGTCGGTCCACTTCCTCCCCTCATGCCAACACCCCCGTCGTCCTCCTCGTCGTCACCACCCTCTCACACGCACATCTGTCAGGTCGTTACCTCATCGCTCAGCCCGTGAGGACAGTCGGCGTCCTCGCCGAGCGCCGACATTTATTTATGTGTCACATCTCCAAGAGCGTGAACTCCGCCGAGCCTCCTCTTACACTTCATTTTTCTTCTTTTGTTTCTTTGCACCTCGATGTCAGCGCTCTGCCTTCTCGCCGCTCGTCGTCCCAATCGGAGAGAGGCGGGACGCCGGGCTCCCGGGGAGGACGCTCGCTGGGGGCGACTTCTCGCGCGTATCTCTGCACACGCTGCACCTGTTAGCCGCCAACAGCTGGGATTCTTCTCCAGAGACCCAACGCGCCTGACCCAGGTGGCTTCGGTTAGGCCTGACCCTGTGTTTGCCCCCCCCCCGCCCCCCCCGCCGGGCCCCCCGCCCCCCCTGATCTACGTTCACGGGGTTTCAAACTGCGCTGATTGATGATCTTTTAGAGGAACCGCTGGAATGTGAGCTGGTACACGGCCGAGTACCAAGTGCTAAACACATTCAAAAGGCTAACCGAGGTCACCCGATACCCCCCCCTCCCCCCCCACCCCCAAGAACCGTTACCCTCCATCCATGGGGGTCACCACCTCCTCCTTTAATAGCAAACCCATGAAAGAGGAGCTGCTGATGGCAACGCGGTGGTGTCCATGTTCTATTTGAACTGTTGGTATGTAACGTGTTGTGTGTTCTTGTACTTGTGGAGCCCAGAGAAGCTCGTTCCTCGCGCACAGCTAAACGCTATAGAACCGCAGTGCAGTTGTAACTACGTCCATCTGCATGAGATGTAAGAAAAAAGAAGGCAGATTGGTTGTCAGTTGAAAATCTGTCAGTGAAGCATTTTCTGAGGAAAGAGACGGCGCCTTCTTGGTCCGACGGCTCCATCTTACCAGCATTTGGGCTTTTTGACTCCCCCCATTTTCCTCCTTTTAATCCCCTTGTTTTCTCCAAGCCGATGAAGAAAAGAAACACGGCCTTTGTTGAACAAAACTGACCGTGACCACAATTTTGCACCAAGACCGTCTTGATAACACCGGTATGTGTAAATGTCTTTTTGGTGGGGGGTAATTGAATGTGTAAATGTCTTTATGGTGGGGGGTAATTGAATGTGTAAATGTCTTTATGGTGGGGGGTAATTGAATGGTAAAAGTATCCCGAGTGGAGGGTGAATGGAAGGGGTAAATGTCGTTTTAGATGAGTGATACTAGAACTGTGTCAATGTTTTTTGGGTGGGGGGTATTGAGGGCTATAAATGTTTTTTCGGTGGCGGCAAGTGGAATTTCTCCCCGGCACTTATAGAATCTCTATCTTCCGGTCACCGTCAGCGAAAGGGGGCAGAGGCAGTTTTTTCCCTCTATCCGTGTGTGTTTGCAAAAACGGGTGGGGGGAGGTGGGGGGGGGGGGGGTTGACACAGACGGTGGTTTGTGTGTGTGTGGGGGGGGAGGCGGGGGTCGTAGGAACCGAGGGGGCTGAAGATTTACCTCTGGAAGCGTCCAGACATTCGGACGAGCCGTCGTCCCGGCTGAGACGCCTCGTACCGACGGAGCCAGTCGGCCGATTCAACGCGTGACGGACTGCCGGTTGTGTGTTCTGAGTGTTTTTTTTTTTTTTGTGCGGCGTTCTGACCTTTTCACCTAAACACACTCTGTGCACAACAAAACGGTGCGAATTGCCTTCAAACGGCTCGTCCGATCAGATCGCTGCGGTCCGTGCCAAGTGTTTCCAGGTGTGTATGAACCTGAACAGATGCAGCGGTGCCCTGAGGCGGAAATGTTTCAGCACAAAGACGTTACATTCACACTCTGCCCCCCCCCGTCCCACCTAACATGCACCATCAGGAGCCAACTGGTAGTTCTGTTTCTTGCTAAAGTAGACCTTGACACGATTGGCGGCTGGGCGACCAGCCGAGATGCAGCTGCTCCAAACAAAACCCTCCTGACTGGACCACATTCTGCTAAAGGAACATCATGCTGTGGCGGAGAAGACTTGAAGATTGAGACTATAAACTCATGTTCACAATGTTTGCTGAGGGGATAAATCAAGAGCAAGGCATTTCCTCGTAGACCTCTATGGGACCAGGAGGAGTCGCCCCCTGCCGGTCACTACAGCGGATGCCGGTTCAAGACTCTTGCCAATTGGTTCCGTCGTCTGCGCTCGCCATCTAGACCGGCGGTTTGCCAACTGCGGTTTGCTGTAACTGAATTAAGCGCCGGCCTCAACGGTTTCAGATGTTCATAAAGCATCGGCGGGATCAGAGCAGCGCAGAGGGGTACCAGCCGAGAACAAAGGCTGTTGACGTGTTTAACACCGACATGTCCTAAATGTTTCACTTTGGCTTTAAAGATGCACTCACGGCGACAGATGAAGCGGGCCGGACCATTGTTCCCCGGGTGCGTGAGTAATTGGATTATTATTGAAAACGGTACATCTGCTGTTTTTAATAATACAAAATTGGATCCTCTCCATCTGGGCTCGTGTAATCCGGCACATGTGCGCCGTCTTTACTCGTACGACGAGAGTCACGAGCGCGCACAGCGCTACGATGACGAACACGCCCAATTAGTCCCACCCAGACGTTCGGTTCCGCCTTGGTCGGCGCACACATGTTCCTCAGCTCCGCCTCCATCTGTTCCTTCACCCGGGGTCAGCGGAGCCGGCGACACGCACTTCCCTTAATATCCCAAATATGCCCGTTCACGGACTCTGAATCTGGGTCTGGGTTCTGTCGGTTTAAAGATGTTCCAGAATGTAGGAGGTGACGGCTTCATCATCCCGTCACATTTCTGCAGTGTTTCTCAGCGTAATAGTTCACCGCGATCCTGACAGAAGAGGCACGTCAGATAAATCAGCTCCTTCACCGGGCCTCATTCCACGATATTAGAAGTACTCTAGATCGGACCCACGCAGGAGCATCCAGCTGAGGTTTCAACTGCTGGTCAACCATTAATCTGACACACACACAAGACACATCGAAGGCGCTCCATTCAGTCGACCACAGGGGGGGGGTTTGCTCTCCTACCTTGGAGATGTACGCGTTGATGCCCTCGGCCAGTTTCATGCAGGGCTCTCCGAAGATCTGCGTCAGCTGGTCGGGGATGTCCCGGTCCTTGTACAACGGATTGTTCAGCAGACTCAGGCACTTCAGCTCCTCCGTGACTCCCTGGCTCCGCACCTACGGGGTCGACAACAAAGCTTTTAGTGACAAAAAAAAGGGCCCGGGATCATTTCTGCCTTTCGGACTACGATCGCTCTCACGTGTATATTCAGATTTAGATGCACGCGTCGATTGCCGAATGGAATCCAGCTACGTGTGCAAAGCGTTTTCAATCTTTTTGTTTGATGTTCATGTTTTTTTACGACACACATTTAAGCTCCGACTTGCAGACGAGAACACACGTGGTGGAAAGTTGAGACGCTGAGATTGAAAAAGAAAAAAATGTTCTGGGCAGCTTGTAACACAACTCTCGATGTAACGGCGGTGTGGGCGGAGCGGGTGGAGGGGGAGGGGGGGCTGGCTTGGGCGGCGCCCATGCGGGGGGGGGGCTTTGAGGGGCTCGGCTGGCCTTTTCGGGGAGGTTGTAAGCGTCACGGTCTGAAAGCCCTGCTAATGACTCCATAACAAGCAGCGATGAGGAGGGAGAGATTAGAGCTGCACTCCTTCACCCCGGCGCTTCATGGTTATTCGTTTTTTATTTTTTCCGCTTGAACCCCCCCAATCTTTCTCTAATGCAACTCGCTGCGTTGGGTTTTTTTTTCCTCCCGTCTTCCCAGTGAAGACAGCGGCGTCTTCCCGTGGACTGGACCTCCCGCTTATTGCCCAGGAAGGGGTGACTCACGGCGCTTAGAGGCCCCGCGGACAAAAGTCGCCGCAACGAGCCTAATGGGACACACGTGTCCCAGTCGGGGGAACATTCCGGTTCCCAGCTTCCATCCGGAGGGGGGGGGGGGGGGTCGGTGATGGCGAATGACGTCACGCGTGAGAAAGACGTGAGAAACATAAGAGGTCTGATCGTACGTTTCGTCTGAGCCGTCGTCACCCGTTTGAAGCGGTTACACCAAACCGCCATGTTGAATCTATGACAATGGATCATATTTATAAGGTTATCAGATTCAGATTCGAATGTGAAATGTTAAAGACAGTGATATCAGTCACGTATTTTAAAATAATCGCTATTTACATGACAACACATTTAATTTCCTGTCACTTCACAGTAAAGAGGTTAAACGTCCATTCATCTAACGCGAGATAAGGAGGCGCGTTGAGGGATCGGCTGCAGGGAACCGGGGGCCCGGAGGAGTCGGCGACCTTCCGCCCCCCTCGGGTCTCCTGTGACGGCGACCTTTGCCGGCGCGGATGAACGAGTGGATCTCAGCAACGAGTGGAGCCAAAGCCGGGCTTCGTCTCTGCCCGGCGCCGCTGCCAAAACACACACTCCCCGCTCCGGTGGTTCTGGTTGAAGGATTCATTGTTATTGAGGAGTGTCCCTTTTGAACGTGAGAATAAAAAGACTCTACAGGGCCTGCCTGTGAGTCCATTAGGGTTCCACAGGCCGGTAGGGAGTGTCTCCACCATGTCAGCGAGGAGATAACGCACCGACGCACTGAGGTAACAACAAGATTAGGAGACAAATTTCTGCTCCATTAGCAGCAGAAGACGAGGTCAGAGGCTACGCGGAGAGACGTTATCGTCTCGCTGGTACCTTTTTCTCTTCAAACTCCCAGTAAAGTTTGTGACAGAGCTTTTGATCTTCTTCTGAGGGCGACGACGTTTCTGTTTGAGATATTTAATTAGGAGTTAATTATTCTAATAACGCTAACAGCTCCGAGCTAACCATCTGCGTGCAGCTATGACGTTAACCATGTGCTAGCAGGCTAACACTGAACATATTAGGCTACACGTTCCAGAGAGGGAAGACGCGGCGCGGCATTCGTTTTCAATCGCGCGGATACACTTTGTTTCACATTGTGAAATAAGGTTTTGCAGACGATCGTAATCAGTGAGAACACGACCGGTTCTGCCCTCGCGCTTTCTGTCCGATGTAATCAGTGAAACTGGCCAGCTGCTAACAGCGCTAACAGCGCTAACGGAGCATTGATGGGTGATCAATGGTGGCCATCTCCAAAAGTCACATTGCCGTGCTAATCCGACCTGTTTGCAGGCCTCCACTGTCATGCTGATGCCCCCCTACCGCCCCCCCCCCCAACCCCCCCCTCCAGGCAAAGAACCCACGTTTGCATGATAACATCAGTTATTTCCTTTGACTCATGTTTCTCATTTAAAGGAAAACTCCTGGAAAGCTGTGAGAGACTCTGTGGACCAGGGGAGACACGCAGGGCTCCAGAGACAGGGCGGCGGTGGGGGGGGCGGGTGGGGTCTTCATCATTGCCATGCCCCCGGGAGAGAAGACCCCGCCCCCCCCGGCCTCCCGACCACTTTTTTCTGCGGACGTTTGCCAAGTCCTGACTCCTCTCCAAAGATGTTGTAACACTGGCCCCCGCTATCTGTGCTAACAACAACCCCCCCCCCCCCCCCCCACGAGCTCTTTATTTGCTGGCCGTCTTCTTCCGTGTGTCACGGTGGCCCGTGATCCTCCGAGCGCCGTATCTAACCGATGACTTCACTCAGCGACGCAACGGGGGCCGATCGGTCGGATTGTCCTTCCTCCACAGGAAGTAACTTCCTCTCGGCCGAGGCAGCACAACTGCTAAAACACCTCATTTTCATTTCGCAATACATTCCACCGATTCCACTTTCCTCACGGGCTTCTTTGTTTCCGGGATGAAGCTGCGGAGCTGCTCCCCCCCCAAAAGAGCAAGCAAAGTGGTCCATGCGGCTCTCTCGTCTCCACGGAGACGGAGACGGAGACGGGGAGGAGAGGAGAGGTCGGGGGCCCGTCGGAGGTCCTGTGGTCCCGATGCCTCTCAGGAAGCAGCGAACAATGCTGCACTGTTCCCTCCCATGCCAGCGAGAGCACGCGTGTGTGCACGCGTGTGTAATGCGTGTGTGTGTGTGTGCGTGTGTGTGTGTTTGTTTGTCTGGGCTCAGGCCGGACACCGAATCCCTGAAAAAGAATATCTCAGGAGCGCTGCTTGGAAACAAGGTCGCAATTTTGTGCGCGCTGGTCCGGGAGTTCCTTGGGAGTCCAAAACTCTCATTTGAGGGGATTAGAAAGAGGAGAAGTTGGCCGAGTAACTCGAATCCATCAGTCGAGAGACTACGAGTGAGTGTGTGTGTGTGTGTGTGTGTGTGTGAGGGAACAGAGAGAGTTGGCTGTGTTTCAGTTTACTTCCTCTGCTTCTGTGACGGGGGAGAGAGGGAGGGAGGGAAGGAGGGAGGGAGCTCATAAATCTCTTTACCCAAACACGGAGACGAGTGCAGCAGGGAAATAAAAGCTGGTGAGAGCACGACGAGGTGGAACCCGCTTCATCACGTTGAGTTACTCGCCGCCAACTAATGGCTGAGACGTGTTTCAGTGTGAATGTGGAGGTCTGGAGTTAACGGTCGCTTACGCGCTCTGCACGCGCCGTCCGCCGCTATTTAACGCTGCGCTAAACGAGTGTGACGAGAGACAACTAAACTTTTAAAACATCACAAAAACCTTTTAAAGAGAAAGAAACCGCTGTGCTTAATGTTGACTTATAGTTGTAAATACAACACACAAAAAGTCAACATTCTACCAGTTTATTCTCGTACTGAACGCGTCCAAACCTGCTCTGATTTATGAACCATTCAAATAGTTGCGTTTCCCCCTTTTGGAGGAACCGCGGCGAGATTAAAACCCCCCGAATCGGCACATTCCGTCGACGATCGCTCCTGAAACATCTGCTTCGCAGGGCGGTCGTGAAGGCAACGCAAGCCAGAAGGAATCCACCGCTCGTACCAGTTATTCAGTCATCGCAAGCGATTTACGACCTTTGAACTCAAAAACAAAAACAGAGCGTGCGCTTCGCCGCCGCCGGGGGGGGGGCGGGCTCCTGGCGATCTGTCTTTTATTTGTGTGTGTCGTGCGTTCTCGTGTGCGCCCCCCGATGCTCGCGTGTGGCGGGGGCCGTCTGCGGCGGACATCCGGCGCCGCTCCAGCGCGTCTTTTATGTGTCTAAGCTGCTTCCAATGAACCCGCAGCGTCTCTCGTTAAAGGGACCTTTGACCTCGCGGGGCCTCGCAACGCCGGCGTCAGACAGCAGCAAAAGGAAGGACGCGAACGCTTCGGAGGGGGGGGGGGAGGTCCTCAAACCTCGACGGCTCACTCGTCTTTCCTGTAAACGCCATTCCTCTGGGAACGACGTGTAGTGGACGCGTGTCTTCGTTGCCCCCCCCCCCCGGCCCCCCGACGGCAGCAGCAGGTGCCTCAACACGCTGGGATGAGTCGGCTTTCACAAGGTTAAGAACCTTCAAAAACAGCCTGCTGAGGGGGTCAAAGGGGAAGTGAAGCGATTCGTTGCCGGCGGCGCCTTTGAGCCTCGTTTCTGCGCATTCAGGACGGCGGCGGCGGGTCGCAGGCGTCCCGGCACCCGGCGTTCTACTGGCAGAAAAACAGATCCAGTTAGGAACTGATTTGTATCACCGAATCAAAGCAAAGACAACTGAGATGTTTGAAACGACCGAATCTTAAAGACAAACAGCTGCACCTGAAGTCGCTTCTCACTGTTTCACATCAGCAGCAGCAGTTTGTCTTCGCTTGTTATCGGGGTGAAAATTCCACGCCGGCCCTTGAGAGTGATCAATAAGCAGGCGGGTTTATGGAAGAAGGCGGCGGAGAAGCTGAACTTCAAGCATCTTCTGTGTTTGACCACCTTGTACTCTAATAAGTATCAGACCCTCTGTGTCCGAGTCCCCCTTTGCTTCAATCACGACTTGATGGTGAGGACGTAAACGAATGAAAACAAACCCGGGTCGCGTGCACACTACAAGCGGCCTGCACGCGACCCCCCCCCCCCCCCCCCCCCATTAGACATCAGTCTGCAGGCATGAAGGGAATCGCCGTGTGTGTTTGGACTACTTTGCTCTTCATTGTGTGGAGGAATGCCGCGAGTGATCCGACAGGTTTTTTGAAGGGGGGGGGTTGTTGTTTTACCTGTGCACACAACGCATTGGTTTCGGCGCGATCGCGTGTATCGTTTCCATGTAAATGATTAGAATAGCGGGTTAATGATCCCACCGCGGCGCTGCCA